TACGAACCATTGAAAGATGTCATCTGAAATGAGCGGGAACTATGCATCTTAAAAAGCACTTCAAAAAGTATAGTTCGCCGTGTACATTTAAAGACACTGTAAGAAATGAAGGAAAATTTGATATTCCAAGAGTCAAAACTGTAACTGAACAGCTCTATTCAGATTGTAATGACTAAGACCTTAAATAATCTGACCAAAACACAAGCAAACAGCAAACTAAGCAAAGAAATAAACAATCAATTTACAATTACTGAATTCTTCTCTGGCCTTTAGGAAACTATAATTTTTGAACAAATCTAAGAAAGCTAAATTAGTTAAAAGCTTCTGAGACAGATTTACAATACACAACGAAATGGGTATATTCATTTCTTTTGAATGTCACAAATAACTTGATAATACAATTCAGTGATTATAGCAAACTTAGTAAAATTGAATTAGGCTAATGATGAGAAGAACAAGGTTTATTATGCAAGGCAACAGTATTTGCATACACTAATTGAATGAAATGAATAAGACAAGAATAATATGTCTCTGTCAGCATTTTTTCTTCATCATTATACACTTTTAGTTTAGATGTATGTAAATAAGTTTACCATACTAAACTAAACTTATTATCCATATTATAAACAAACTTAGCTGTTTAACATTAGAGCAACAGCTTATATCATCTATTTTGAATGAACTATCAAAAACACAAATAATAACACATTGTTATAGAACCTCACAATTGTGTACACTATGTTGCGAGAATGATTTCTGGTTGTCAACAACTATCTAAAAATTCATTCATAACAACTTGAGTTTTACAAATCGAACAAATTTAAATTATTGTAAATTTATGCAACTCATTTGTTTCAGTAAATATCATTGATAAAATGAGATTATTTTTGTCAATCAAATTCAACAACAAATTCATATAACTGTGTTCGAATCAACTATGCAGAAGCAGTAAACCGAGACTATGTAGAATGACTTATTAACGATAGCTAAATAAAATGACTTGAAAAGTATTTATACTATAAGGTCGAAAAATCTGGTCTTTCAGCTTGGCTAATTAAGTAATTCACACAACAGTCTGTCGATATTTTTGTCCTCATTGTTATATGGTCAAACGCAATTTGCGTTAATCAGATCAGTGCATAATATATTTCTGTTTGAATATATTACCCAGGCTTTTACAAAAAAATATAAACTACTTTATAATAGTCAGTAGGTAGACTTATATTACAATCATGAGTGAATTCAATGATGAGTTGAATTTCATCATCAGTGATCCAATTAATCGATTGTAATATATTTGAATTAGTGTTTTAGTTTTTTTCGTTGTTAAGATACTGTTAATCCCATAATCGTTCTTTCTCATTTAGGTAAATTGAATTTTGAAAAAGTTTCTTTTGAACAAGGTTTCTACCCAACATAGTTATATATTGCTCTCTGATTCACTGTAAATGCTAGCTCTATCCTTTATTTTGAAGCTAGTGAATCATATCAGAACATTATCTTGGCAGACAAACGGCCACACATACAACCGTAAGACTCAGGGAATAAACATTAGCAAAGTTTATTTTGCTTTTATAGTAGCAGACTTCTTTCAGAATTCTTAGTTTAAATACTGTAAGCAGAAAAGTTTGAAATCGGAAACATTTTACAATGAAATTTAGGTGAATAAATATTTAGCACAGTGGATAAAGTTAGCCAAAGATCAATCTCAGATTTGTTGATCATACTATTGAGAGAGGCACAGATTTCTTAGTCAAAACAGATACACGAAATGAAAGCGAAAATCATAAACTAACATTAGTCCGCTCTGAATAACGAAGTATTTTGGATTACCCATATAGTTTCTCTATAACGTTCCCAGAGTAACAATTTTAAAGGAATCATTGTTCAAAGTTATTGATAAAAGAAAATGAATCAGTTCAAAATGATTTCAAATCTAAATCTATGTACATCAGAGGTTTAAGCAATCTACCAAGCCCAACATAATGTATTTGCAAGTAGTCACTGTTTCTATCTAACAAAATTCAAAAATTTTATCGCTATTACTCCTTTATTATTTTTTGATAACTATTAATCAGCCGTAATTACAGCCTTTTTTTCTGATCTGTTTTTTTTACATCCGTCAAATGAACAATTACATTGATTCTGCAAAGTATCTTACTATTTTATTCATTATTCTTTATATAATTACATAAATTCCCCTTCTAGGTTTGATGATTATAAATAATTTGTTATTAGTGTCTTTATATTTTTCAAGTTGACAATTATCTTCCATTTACAAACCATGCTCACTTTGATTTACCAGCGTTCTTATGATCATTGAAAACATTGCCAGTCACCTATTACACGATGAAATAAATACCTTTATAATTTGACTGCAGACCTATGAATTCTAAATAACTCTGAATATGATTTTACAGCTCAAGTAAATGATGACGTACGAAAACGCTTTCACTGAGCTGTCTCTACTTCTTATCCAATTTAAGAGTTCAGTTACATGGTTGAAGGCAATAGTTGAGAATGACTTAATGCTAGCTAGCTAGAGCATCGTGAAGAATATAATGAGCTTGAGCGTCAACTGTGATTACTTTTGTAGATTTCTTGTCAAAATTTATTGCGCAATACTTTGAGGTGTAGATTATGATCAGCAAAACCGTGACACTAAACTAGAATACTCACTAATTTTCATATATGAGCAAATTGTTTTAGTTCATGCTACTAATAATTTGTAAGTAGTAGGAATTTTCACACCAAAAAACAAGAACTGTTGACAAACTACCTACTTTGAAGTTACAGTTGTCGTACAAAATATTTTGACAACAATTGTAAACGTGAGTGACACCATAACCCTAAGTGCCCAATTTAATTCCTTCCCACTTATTCCCCGTGTTTTATTACATGGTCTACTTCCTCACTGCTTTATTTCTATTTTATTTAATGTTAATACTTCAAATTAATTCGATGCGCACAGTTGATGAGTCCCATACTAGGAAGAGATGGCCGTCCTGTACTCTTAGGTTTATAGTCATGATCTGACAGTGATCGATTTATGATTTCAATGAAACAAAAAATAATTCCATAAATTCCAATTAGGACGAAGCACCAACTACTCTAACGAACACTGTTGGTTTTTTCATGGTTAAGGGGATTTCGATCGTAAACAAATGGAAATGTAGTGCTATTTCATGACATCACTAACTACTGAACTAAGACTTGGTAAAAGGTGAAAATTCCCCGTTAGGGGTCTACGCGATAATGATAATCAGTACTTGGAGAGAGTTAAAATCAAATGACTTCTATTTGAAGTTTGTGCTGATGTTGTTCAGAAGAACAATTAAAGCTCCCCAAACAAAACACCCAGCTCAGAGAACCAAACACCACCACCACGAAATGATATACATTTGTACTTAGTGAGGCAGATGCACTCATCTTTTATTTTTTTATTACATTTTCAGCCTCAGCATTATTTTAAGCTTTCGGTTTGTCAATTCGAATCGTTAATTCTGGACTAAATTTATATGTTCTGTGTTTTTGTAATTATTGAAACCATAATTTGAACTCTATTATTTCCTACATCACAAATTTCCTCTCATTGTGCGGACTTGAGATATGACTAAGTATCAAGATGTGTATTTATGCCAGGATCCATGGTTTGACTCAATGCATGCTATTAAAGATTTCATAACGAATAATAGTTGTGTAGAGCTTAGAATGTGTGAAAATATTATGAAACAACTTCCTCTCATTAAAATAAAATACTGAACTTATTGATTTGAATTTGATTAGAATTCAATGGTCATTCATTAGAATCCACAAAGTGTCCCTATTCTCTCCACATGAGCTTAATTACACTGGATTGCTTGGAAAAAAACACTAGTTAGTCTATCCATCTTACTTGGTTAGTGAAAGAGATTCAGTTGGTATGTCAGAATATAGACAGAAAGACGGCAATAAAGTTGAGTGGTTTCCTTTCTCATCTAACATTAATGAACCATATTTCTTTTAAATTAAAAATAAATACCACTTATCTTGTAAATTTCCTGCATCGAAACTCAACAAATTTTAGAAATCGCTCAAACGTCAAACATAAACAACGATGTCATTAATTGGATCAATCAGAAATTGGCCAAGCCATAGGTGCAGGTGAGTGGTTAAGATGTGGGTTCTGTTTCTCATGGATGAAGGATATATCACTGGTAGCTTAATTTTCAAAGACATATATATCAATGCCAACTCCGTTAGTATATAAACTTCCTTTGTTACTTTCGTTCATATCACTTGAGTAGACAGTTTGTCTCGCATACAAGAAGGTTGAGTATCAGCATTAGTATCAACTCTTGGAAACCGTTTCGACGTAGTATGGGACCTCTATCTCAAGAAGAAGATTATAGGACTGATTTATGGATTATTATTGTGTATGACCTTATCGTATAGTTATTCAGTAACCAGATTATATATGTATATTCTTTTTATTATGATCTTCCGACCAACTGATTAACCGCTGTTGTGTGATTTATTATTTCTAATCTATTGCTAGTTTTCTGTTAACAGCCACTTTTGACTAGCTCATGTATAAGTGTATTTTCTTATTTAATGATGTGTCGTAGTCTGGTATGTTTGGAAGATAAACTATGCCTGCTTTAAATGTAATCTGATTTTGTGGAGGCTGGCTACAAACATCTGAACTATGAGGCAGGGTAGAAAGAAAGTGCCATCAAGTTGTGGATCATTAAGGTTTTTGAGATGACTCACAGTTTCTGAGTGCAAACATAATTTTGATTGATGTTTAGTATTAACGATTAACGGTTGGGAATACAACGGGTACCTAACATCTAAACCACTGAGCCAGAATCCAGCGGTGTTAATGTCTAAATTCAATCAATACACGATATTGCGAGACTTTATTTTACTATAAATCGAGATCAAGTAAGGAATTTTAATGAATTAAAAGAAACTCTTATTCAATATTAATTTTGTAATTTTGAAACAATAATTTCTACTAATGGATTCATCTTCATCAATTCTTACTTCTTTATTGATAACACAGGATAGAAAGCAAAAAACAACACTGACTTATTCAATATTTAATAAATACAAGTAAGTCACTAGTTCAAGAGTACAGAATATATGGTATAACTATAAATGCTTAAGCAAATCTTCAGAAAATAAAACTACACTGACCAACATAGTTAGACTTTTAAGCTAAATAATTGTGACTGAATTATAGAATTGACTAAATATATAAACAGTGTTGTACAAGTACATAGTGTGTGTATGTATAGAAGATAGTAAACGATAACTTTTTCAACAATCTTAACTAATTCAACTATTTCTTTGATTTGCCTTTACCTCCTTTCTTTCCACCCTTCTTCTTTTCATTTTTTTGTTCATTCAACTTAGCTTGTTTGTCAATTTCTCTTTGTATTACAAATCGGGGAATTAAAGGAACTGTACGTGTTTGTATTAAATGTTCAATTTTTGGGAGATCACCATTTGTAGCGTTTAATAAAACCTGAATAAGTGTAGATTAATAATAATAATAATAATAATAATAATAATAATAAAAGTGGCAGAAGAATACAATGTAACGAATGAAGGAAATCATATTAAAATACTAAAAATGTGAATATGATTTAACATGAATCGTCATGGAAACTATCGAGTTATCATACTGACCCTTGTAAGACGGATACACATAGACAAAAATATAAATCTGATCAAGAATAATGGTTTTTTTATAAACGACTAAAAGGGCTGTTTACCAACAAAAGATGAAAAAACGAGTTCAAAAGGCATATAGAGATGAATAATTGTCAGTTGATGAACTCTTCATTTCTTGATAAAAATATAAGCTTCATACTGTTGAGAAACAAAACTACAAGATAAATGAAAACATCCAAACTGATGATGTATACATTGAGGCCTCTTATGAAATCAATATGAAAAGTGACTGCAAGTTAACTGAAATAGTAGAAAGGCAATAACTGAATTATAAACTAGTCGATAAGTGGGAGTTATTCTCCTGAATTCTTGTTCAGAAAGTGTTGTTAGACAAGGTAAAAGTTAATAATCAATGATAAAGCTAACAGCTAAATGACGGCATATTGCCCACCATGAAGCAACAGGATATCAAAAAAATTGAGTTCAGTAAAAATTATGAACAAACAACATTTAAGATTGGTAAATATGTAAACATCTATAGAAGATTAATAGTGTTATCATCATTCCGGATCATGTCATAATTAGCAGTATGACCGATAGTCAGTCAGCTGCAACAAAAAACTTGGTACCTCCAACCTCATTAAGAGTTGGAGGATTCACATCAACTTGCCATTCAGGTTCACTGGAAATCGTGTATAACTGAAGAGTAGCCTAAGGCCAGTTGAACTGTTCCCTAAAGAGTTCTACACATTTGTTCAATCCCCTAGATTGAGAATGAATAATAGTTCCATCCTCTTCCAAGAGTCTAGATAACAGACGGATTTCTAATAACAGTTTCTTTGACGATCCTGAACAGTTGTCTACTGTTACCTATTGCCCCTGCCTTTTCTATCTCTTTTGCTTGCGCTGCGCGCCACTGCTCATGACCATTATGTGCGTAAGGAGATGTCTAACATTTTTGCGATCGAACTCTTCTAACAACTAACGTTGTCAGAAGACAATATTGCTGCAGATGCGAAACATCTTACTCTTATCACTTGCCTGGAATGGCACGACCTGAAGGAACGTGTGTTACAACCGATATAGCTTGGTTGGGTCATCAAGATAGGTAAGCCCAACCACCTCGTCAAGTTAACAGATATGGTCAGGTACGATCAATAAAGGGTAAGGAATAGCAATAATTATGATCTGCTTTGCAAACACCTCTCCTGCCAAACTGATAAACGACCTTCTTGGATCCACGTGCGTAAGGCATATTTTTCAAAAGGAATAAGTAATAAGTAAGATTCAATAGAGAAAGATTTTGTCTTCATTCTGGTTTTAGAATGATGAATACCGTGAAGGAGCTTGGGAATCTCTAATCCAGACTTTGGTTAAGAAATTTTATAAGAACCCGTTATATAACACTAATTCTTTAAAGTTAGTAAAAGCGCTCAACTATTCATGATTAATTAACTAACTGACCTCACATTGCAGTTTAGCATTATAGCTTAGTAAATTTTTCTCGTAAGTTGCGAGTTTCATAGGTAAGATGAATATCACTTGACACTGGTCGTCGAACTATAACATCTCAGTTCTTTAGGTTATCAGTTCAGCAAAGGTACGATCAGATTGTTTCATAGAAGTTATGAACGAAATCAATATTCAATATCACTATTCTGTTCTATTCTTTTTCAATTTAACTGATTTTCAGTAAGGGTTAAAACACTTTCTCAGTTAAAGCATACTTTATCAGAAAGAAATAAGAGAAACTGGAGAGGGGTATTGTTGAACAGAACAAATCAGTGTTTCGAACAAGCTGAACTGTTGACAACAGTCAATACCAACTAGAGTTGACTTAGCAATCAAATCAACAAAAATGAAAAGTAAGCATTCAATACAGAAATGGGTACAACAACTATTCTTTAGTACGACTTACTTTCCAAGTTTCTGAATTGTAAACTGCTAAGTCAATTGGTTTGACACCACTAAGACATTCATGATTAATATCCGCTCCAGACATCAGTAAAAATTTCACCACTCTTGTATGATTTCCTTTGAAATAAATTTAACAGAATGTTGTAATTCGAATAAAAATAATCCTTACCTCTAGAAGCCATATGCAATGGTGTAGTTCCATTTGAATCCCGGGTATTTACATTCGCTTTATTGGCGACAAGAAGTTTTACTGATTCATAACTGCCATCTGTTATATATTAATTTCAAATAAATCAACAATTAAATCGGTACAATATATGAGAAACATGTTTACTTGCAGCTGCATAGTGTAATGCTGTTTTCCCGAAATCATCAATAAAGTTTACATTCACTCCATTTGCGATAGATTTGCTTACAGCTTTAATATCATCTCTACGTGCTGCTTCACATAAAATTAATTCATTTGGAAAACCCCATGGAATATATGGACCTGATTCTGATTCCGATTCAATGTATGCTGTCATCTTTTCATACTTAAGGAAAACAAAAATAGATTGTTCAATTTTGTCTAAAATCCAAGAAATTATTATTAATTATGAGAAACAAAGGATGCTGATGAATGACTAAACGTCAATCAAACAATTTACAAAAGCCTAATAATGAATGATAACTTTTTCAATTAAAGTTATGAAGATCAGTGATAAAGCACACCGAAATCATCAATTGTTAGATTACTATTATAAATCTGGAAGCACCGGATTTCTGTTTCGTCCTGGTATGTAACTCATCAGCAATGTGCACCCATGACTTCTGCTACCCGAGGGATTCAAACCCAAGACCTCAGGCCACTAGGCCGGCATCCAACAGTGTTAATGTCTCCCTCCGACCAATCTAGAGATTTTACGCGACCTCAATCATTTGTCCTCTGTGGTTACTACCTACACCCTAAAGTACTGAACTCTACTGGTGTAGGCGCGCAAGACCGGTCTTGCGTTCGAATATTGCGAGTAGCATGCGTTGTGGTTGCGCGCTGTAGATGAGTTCCATACCAGGACGAAACGGCCGTCCGGTGCTTCCAGGTTTATAATTGTGATCTAACAATGATTGATTGATGGTTTCACTGTTTAAAAAATAGCTTTAAAATAGTTTGTTTTAAAGCTTATAAACCAGTGGTAATCACTTGACAGTATGAAATTGTATTATCGTACTTGCCTGGGATTTTACTAGAAGTACCTGTTGAGAAAGCGATAGGAAATCTGAAGCGAGGGAGATCTGCAGGACCTGATAGATTGACTCCTGAGATACTTAAGGATGGTGGTCCGGTTTTATTAGCTAGATTGACTGATACCTTAGGTAGAATCTGGGAACTGGACACAATCCCAACCGACTGGTCGCAATCCCTGATTGTTCCAATTTATAAGAAAGGACAAAAGTCTTTTTGTGACAATCACAGAGAAATAAGTCTAACTAATATAGTTTCTAAATTGTTAACCTCGGTTATACCCAGATGCCTAACTAGAGCACGTGAAGAGCAAACTCGAGAAATTCAGGCTGGGTTCAGACCTTGACGTGGCTGTATAGACCACATTTTCACACTACGACAGGTCCTGGAACATAGACACATATTTAGGCCTCCTACAATAGTTATCTTCCTGGACCTTAAGGCGGCATTTGGCTCTGTGGATTATGAGATTCTGTGGCAGTGTCCTTCATTAAAAGGTGTACCAAAGGAGTACATCAACCTTATGAAAGCTCTCTACTCGAACACTACAGGTCGAGTTAGAGCTTATGGCGAACTGTCATCGGAATTGTTTACTTCAAATGGTGTCCGTCAAAGATGTACACTCTCCCCATTCTTGTTTTTGTCATATACATGCTTCTAGATATGAGATTATCTTCGTCTGAATTTTCAGGAGTCAACTTTCTACCAGGAAAATCGCTTGCTGACTTAGAATATGCCAACGACATAGTCCTACTTGATGAAGACTCTGACCTTCTGACCACCATAAGCGACAATACAAGCATGTTTGGTATGCGGTTTTCCCCTCGAAATTCAAAATATTACTTCAAGACTGGGTTACATCGGCACCTGAACTAGTGATGGGAAGTGAAGCAGTTGAGCGCGTCGACCGCTTCACTTATCTCAGCAGCCTCATCAGTGCTGATGGTCTGGTGACTGACGAAATCTCTGCACGGATACAGAAGATTCGATTAGCTATTGTCAACCTGCGTCACTTGTGGCGTAGGCGAGATATCCGCTTGCTGACGAAAGGACGAGTTTACTGTGCAGTAGTTCGCTCCGTCCTGCTTTATGGCTGTGAAACATGGCCAGTCAGAGTAGAAGACATTCGTAGGTTACTTGTTTTCGGTCATATGTGTCTCCGAAGCATTGCTCGTGTATTGTGGGACAACCGAGTGAGCAATTCTGTTAGCATGAAACGGGTGCTGGGTAAGGATGGCAGGTCAATAGATGAAGTAATGTAACTTCATCAATTGAGGTGGTTGGGACATGTGCTGCGTATGCCTAACCACTGACTGCCTCGTCGAGCTATATTTTGCGGTGTAGGAATATGTTTGACGAAAGCTAGGGGCGGCCAGACCAAAACATGGGACAAATCCATGAAGTCAGTGACAAGTGGACTGAGTCATGTCAGTAGGTGTCGACTACCTGTTTGGGTCCGCGAAACGTTAGTAATCGATGGTTAGAGACCCTGAATGATATGGCTCAAAACCGTTTGCAATGATGCAAGTGAATTTATTCTTTGTGTTCTCTCAAATCCTGAAATGTTTGATTCTTCATCACTTTTTCTTTGTAAGTCTATTTCACTAGATCTTACTTCTTGAATAATATCTTCTAATCCTAACCTCTCCAACTACCACTAATATCTCTACTACTATTGGATCCGCACTGACAATTACATCTCTGTGCTAATGTGGTATGGCAACATGAACTGACGTACGTGCGTACGAAGTTATACGTTGCTGTTGATTGATTGATTGATTGAGAAGTACCTGTTTGGTTCTTATATGATCGTTTGATTTGAATACAGATTGTAATAGGACGGCGGAAAGGATTTTAGAAAACAAATTTATTTCTGAAGAAAAGTATCACATTCACAAGGTTTTTGCAATATAAATAGTCTTTAATATTTTCGGCTACATTTTGAATTTAAAACAATTAGTCCCATTTATAAATTTTAATTTTTCATGGCTAAGCTAATAGAATAATTAGGTCAGTAAATGAATAGATGGAGACGCATCAAATAAGCTAGGCAGCAGAACCCTAAGAACTTTTTTAGCTGCGTTATGTGATAAAGGTTCTAACGTGGCACCGCAATAACATGACGACTTGGTGACACTTACAACATAGTGCATATATCAGAATGAAAACGGTAAAAGTGATATAAATCAATTTGTGATTTCCCATTAAAAACTTACAAGGACTGATTATATTCCATAACTTCGTAGTTAACCTCAAAACACTGTTGTCTCTTTTCACTATTATTTCATATAAAAGAGTAACGCATAATTTATAGGTAATTCAGTAACTCCACTCTACTAAGTGAATACTGTAAGAGTAAGGATATTCAACAAAGAAAGAGTTGTTGCCTATCTTCAGAAGTTAAACACCATTGGTTTGCATAGTAAGAGTATTCTGTCGTATCTTTGGTAACTGAAGTCCGGCACCTGAAATTATCTTTAACATCTGGCTATCTAAACTAGAACACAGCTGTATTCTGTGTCAAACAGTAGTTTGATATATATTCTAAAGAAACAGAATAAAAATAACCATAGTTATATCATATCAAAATGTCGTCAGTCCATACCAACTCATGTATTTTCGTGCACTTCATGATTAATAACGTTTTTCACGGTTACTATATTTAAAAAAGTAATTTGAGTTGCTAAAAGGTTGATGTATATGCAAGTTTGAATCGTAAATAACCTCATGCACACCAACTTACGGTAGGCTAAAAATGCTATTTTGGAGGTGATGAGTAGAAAATGAGTAAGCCGAGATTTTCTGAATGTAGAATATAGGGTCCTAATGTCATTGATAATACCTCTTATTATAACTGACATCACTAATGGGAAAATTAGTAAACAGATAGTTAAATGCAGAGACATTTACGAGCAATACATACAAGTAGTCAGACTTAAGTGTAAATACAAGATAAAATTAAGACCGGACAGTAGTATTTTCCCTCGTTGACTTATATGGTTGGGACCACTTATAATACAAGAGGACTACAGTTTTTAGATTATTAAACTTAGTTTTAGATAAGATAACACGAAGAATTTTGCTTTTAGAAGTAAATCGCACTTTCACTCTCGTTGATAAAAGTTTTTCTCTTTATTGAGCTTCGAATGCAGCAGTACAATATCATTTTATTGCCGAACACTTATTCGTTTTGAATTTTCTCCTCCATATGGCTTTTATGCTATAATTTATCCTAAAATTTCTGACTGAAGACTGCAATGTCAGTCAGCTTTGACGCAGAGCTAGGTACGCACACGCATCAGTTCAAGCCGCTCTACTACAGTAACACAGACAGATGGAACTTTTTAGTTTGAATCCCATAGTAGTAGTTATAGCAGTATTAGCTCCAATCTAAAAGATCAAGGATAGAACATATAAATAGATTTAAAGAGAGAGAAAATGGTCATCAGGGATTCACAAGATTAGAATTTGAGAGAAGATAAAGAATAGATGCATTCACGCCAATGTGAACTATATTGAGCCATATCATTTAAAGCCTCTAACCACCGCTTACGATTGTCTTGAGGACCACAACCGGGTAGTCTACACCTACTAACATGGCCCAGCTCACTTGTCACGGACTTCACGGAATAATATTATGTTTTGGTAAGGACACCACTAGCTTTCTTCCAACCTGCCCCTATATCAGACGAAACCGCTTGTCGAGGTATTCGGTGGTTGGGCGTATGTATTATATATTCCAACCCCGTTCACTGACCAAAACTCAATACTTCATTAATTCATCGGTCATCCTTACCTAGTAACCTTTTCCCAAACCCAGCATTGCTTAATTGATGATCCCAGGATGTACGACCGATGCTCCAAATACACCTATGATTGAATACTGAACAGTGAAAAACAAGCGATCCCCAGCCACGTAGGTTTCTTCCGTGAGCAGTCCCTCACGTGGCAGCAGTCAGGAAAAGCACAATCGTAAAACTATGTACGTTCCTAGCAGGGAAAACAATCAGCAAAAGATACGCTGAATTGTTTGGTTTACCGCTGTTTAAACTATGAGGCGATCAAGGTTTAGTTAGACAGGTTTAACAATTATCCAATATCCAATATCTTTATCACGAGCTAGTATAATCCGATTGATTTCTTTGAGCTCAATTCTTCTTTTTTCGGTACGGTTCCAGGTGTTCGGTAGAGTTCAATAAATTGTGGTCCAGCCATTTGACTGTCTAATTCTAGTCAGTTGGTTGCGAGTTTGTATGTCTCGTGATTTGATTGAATACGTTTGTTTCAGGGCATTAGGTATTCTGAATACCAGCGGCTACCACACTACAAGGTTGAAGATCAGTTAGTTGCAATGTCGATAATGATAATAATAATAATAAGGAGAAAAGTCTTATGGCAATAAGAAGTAGATTTCAGTACTAAGTAAATCAATGGCCAATCTAGTTCATTAATTGGTGGTGAAAGTTGTGCGAGAGGACCGGAGTGCAGGCAAGGCAGAATAAACGGAGGTAATAAGTGAGATGGGTTCAGTTAGTGATCTAAAGAGATGGCACAGATAAAAACTAGCGGATATCAAGACGTGCATAAGGCAAGGCTGGCCCGAGAGCGAGATGATAATCCGTATGTGAGTACGAGTTTATCTAGTCTCTTCTTACAGCTGTTCACTGAAGCGGCTGTGGTCACTTCGATTAGGAGATCATTTCAAGTTGCAACCACTGAAAGTGAGAAAAGTGGGCACGAACCTGAGTATTCGCTCTTTGAGGCGCAATTTTTCGAACTTCACCTCGAAGAGGGTAGTGGTGATGTTTTGGTAACCGTAACCTTCGCTATTAGGAGTACGTGATGTACTGTATCAAAGGCTTTTACAAAGTCAAGAAATATTCTATGCATCGGGATTTAGGACTACGTGATACTGCTAGCACTCTATCCATCGATAATGTCCTGACTAGATGTAATTAAATATACTCGACTTTTGATGACCTCATCAATTCCTGTAAATATGAATAACTGCATTGTGATGCCAAAGGTTAGCACATCCTGTCCAATAAAGCATATGAGTTGTTGTTGCTTATGGACTAAGAAATATTATCATTCCAAAATACTTTTGTGAATTTCAAGATCTCTGCAACATCATTATTGGTTTCCTCAAAAAGGTTTCTTTAGTTGATTTTATTTTACTCAATGTTACATACTTTAGTAAAATGATTTTTCTACAATTATCATTACTGTTATTGAAGTTTCTGGATACCAGCAGCTATCACATTACCAGACCGTAGATCAGTAGTTGCAATGTGGAGAATAATGAGAAAATTCTGATGCTAATACGATTTCAGGACTAAATAAATGAATTGATAGTTTTTTTATGAATTGATAGTGAAGATTCTGCGAGAGGGCCGACGTGTAAACAAGGGAGACGAAACAGAGATAATAGGCGAGACAGACTAGTTAGTTATCCAAGGAGATGGCAATAATAACTACTAGCAAGTCCAAAGACATGTATCAGACACAGCTTGTCCGCGATGGAGATGATAATCCGCATGTGGGTACATGTCCATCAAGTCTCTTCTCCAAGCTCTCCACTGAGGAGGCTGTGATAACCTCGGTTGGGAGAGTATTTCAAGTTGCAGCGACTCCTAGTGAGGTAAAGTGTGCACGAACCTAAGTAGTCGCTCGTCGATGCGCAATTTTTCGAGGTCTACATCAATGAGAGTGATGTCGATGCATCGGTATGGTGCTGACATTGGAATGCTTTGGCGTGTTTAATATGTTGTACGCCATATTCAGATCACCTCTGATCCTCCTGTAACTCAGCGAGAATAGTCTTAAGTGATGGAGTCTACTTTCGTACTGTTTATTCTTTAACCCTATCACCCCTTTCGTTGCTCGCCTCTGCATTCGATCCAAGAGAATTGGGCTTCTTTCAACCAGACGCCGTGCGATGACGTTGTGAACTTCAAGGTGTGGGCGCGCGTGCGTCTTAAATAACGTTAATAATAGTTCTAGGGCGACAGCATCAAGTTGTCTTGGCATAAAGTGAAGAGTCTCATTTTCATTGGCTGAGCCCCCTATATAGTTTGAGCTGGTGTGGAGGCTTCCAACGGTTATTAAACCGAGATCGCAATCTGAGGAGACATTAGGGAGCGGGTTTTTATTACGGGTCTAAATCATTTGCATCATGTGGGGCAGAATGTACATGACGTGACAATTCGGTTGGTTGATCTTTAAACCGTTTTTCACAGCCCATTCCCCAATAGATGTAAGGTACTTTTGAAGTTCAGCCGAGACATCTTCGCTTCTAATGGATCTCCAGATCTTTGAATCGTCTGCATAGATCAATGCCGGTGAGTTAACTGAGCCTAACAGGTCGTTATTAAATATTAGGAAGAGAAGTGGACCTGGGATAGGCCCCTATGAAACTCCAGTGGACACTATATTTACTTTGATACGAAGCTTTCTTTTCTGAAGGTAGTTTCTGAGTGGGTCAGTCAAGCCCATTTCCGCGTGTTCGCACAATCTCAGAGAGCGTAAGAGTCATCCAAGTTGCCCCAGAAATCTAAAGGTACAAAGTGATGTTGTTTTGGATGAGCGAAACACATTGGACAGATAGTGGACAAAAATATTGGCTTCATGAAAGATTCTTTTGTACACCAACCATGAAGAAGAAATTGCCTCGCATACACAAAGAGTTGCGTTAGTGATGTCTAAAGAAGCACGAAAAACACTGATGGGATAGGAATCTCACGGGCCCAGGATCATCAAGGCATCCTTCAAAACAAAGAAAGAGGACATTTAAATGAAGTCATCAAATGCTATGCACCTTCCGACGACTACAATGGAGACGTTAAACATCAATTCTACTACAGGCTGCAGTCACTCGTCAAGAAATGCCCAACAACGGAATCGAACATCGTGAAAGGAGACCTAAATGCCGTGATTTTGCATGGACGTAATCGGATATGTAGACATCGTGCGACGACGTGGACTAGGAGAATGGAACGAAAATATTGAGAGATTCGCAGAGCCATATATCTTCAAGAAGTTAGTTATAGGAGGCACCATATTCATATGTAGGCGCATACATACATACGGATTTCAGTGAATCACACTAAACAGAACCGAGTCGACCATGTCTGGATCAATAAAATGTTCAGAGTGAATATGAAGTACGTGAGAACCATGAGAGGAGCTGATATAGCCTCAGATCACCACTTTCTGAAACCCAAGAAGCACTGGAAAACGTTGCGGCTAATATTATCAAAGATTAATATGGCGTTTCTTCGGGATACTGAAAAGCTCACCGAATTCAAGATAGCCCTCAGTGATAGGTTCAAGGCTTTTCACAGTCTACACAATTGAGAGGAAAATACCATGGAGAACAATTAGAAAGTGATCAGGGAGCTAATCACTTCATCATGCTCTGAGGTCCTGGGCCACAAGAAGCACCATCACAATGAATGGATCTCTGTTGGTACTCTTGATAAAATTCAAGAAAGTAGGGACAAGAAGGCAACAATCAACATCAGTCGAACAAGAGCAGAGAAGGCTAAGGCCGAAGTTGAATAGACAGAAGCAATCAAGCAAGTAAAGAGGAGCTTTAGAGCCGACAAACGTAAATAAGTGGAAGTTCTAGCAATGTTGAGGGACGTTAGATTCCCAGAAATCATTTGAAAAAAATCATAATTCTGTAATTTATTTCTGAAATTTTTACTTCTTATGTTTTAGCGCCAAAGACGCTTAGTAATTGGTTGATGGATTGCTTAGTACGCTGTTTTGTGGCTCGCACTAAGGGTGTTTTATCATAGTATAAATCAGCATGAGTTGTGTGCTTGTGGACATAGCACTTTCTGGGTGCCTATAAACAGATTCTCTTCGTCTAATCTAGACTTCTTCCTTTAGTTAGAGGGATGTGCAACAATCGTATTAGAATGAACTGTCGCATCACTCCGTCGTTGATCTTCGGTCCCGTTTATCGAGTCAAGGGTGAATCTCGTAATACCTACCAAAGCAAATTAGGTTGGAAGAGAAACGAGAAACATGATAGAGTTGTATGATAGACACCTAAGAAAGCTGCGGCTGGCAAACTTTCAGGGGGTGCGGGGGGGGGTCAACAGTCATGCTGAAATCAATGAGAGGCCAAAATTAATCAGCAACACTGCAACAACATGAGAAACAGGTAGTAGAGTACTCAGAGGAAATCTTAAATTGGGCCCAGTCACCTTGAATCCAATCAGTACTGTATCATAACCCACGACCTTTCAATCAATGTTGGCCCGACAAGAATTGAAGGGACAACAGACAAATAAAGAGCGACAAAGCGACGGGACCAGAACGGACATTCTATGCAATGTAAGTAGATATGGCAACAAAAGTACTTCACATTCTCTGAAACAAGATTAAGGATAAAGAGCAAGTTTCAACAGACTGGAAAGAAGGATATCTGACCAAATTCCAAAAAAGGTTGATCCTATCAAGTGTGAGAACTACAGATATATCACTCTACTCTCAGTACCAAGCAGGTTTCAACAGGGGTATTTCTTAACAGAATAGAAAGACTCTGTAGACTCCAATACATCGAGATGAACAGACTAGGCGTTCGTAAGGATCGATTGTTTATCGACCGAATCGCAAAATTACAGATCATTTATTGAACGATCAATTGAATGAGAACTCATCACTCTACATCAGCTTCATTGTCTATGATAATCAACGCTATACGGAAATTATTATGATGGATTACACCACAAAATCGTGCACAGAGGAGAGCTGACAGGCTCGAAGTGAAAGACCGGTGTCAGACAAGGTTGGCTTACTCTCACCCTTTCTCTTTCTCCTGGTGGTATACCAGATTATGGAGACGTCAACTTCTGGAAGAAAGCAAGGTACCCGATGGACAGCCAGGATGCAGCTAGACGATCCGGGCTTCACAGATGAAATGGCTCTTCTATCGCACACGCAACATCAAATGCAAGAGAAGTCGACCAGTGTAGCAGCAGAATTAGCAGCAACAGGCCTCAACATACAAAAAGAGTAAAACAAGTTTCTGAGATACAATACAACATGTGCCAAC